CGACACCCGATGGAACTCAACATATATCATGATAGCAGACGCCCTTCGGCTACAGAAAGAACTCGGACAATTTGTTCGGATGCATCCAGAAGTTCACGCACTTCAGCTTACCGATAACGAATGGTCCATTCTTCAACAAGTAGCGAAAGTTCTTAAGCCATTTTGGGATCACACGAACTCGGTGTCAAAGTCTTGTCCGACGATTGTTGAGAGTCTACCCATCTATTGGAGTCTAGATGACCTGCTTGACGATGTTCAAAAAGCAGAAGGTAATTTCGAATATGTGGACACCGAGATACGAAATGCGGTGGAAAGAGGAATACAAAAGATGAACAAATTTGCAAGAAAGATGGACACCAATCTTTTATACTACGTGGCCTCCGTCCTGGACCCGCGGATCAAATCGTCTTTGATCGGAACGCAGATGAACGCGCAAGATGCGGGAATGATCATCTCTCAAGTGCGGGAGTTCTTGAAAAGGAGTATCCGCACGAGCCGTCCATGTCATGTGTAGTGGACCGCCCGCCGGGTATGTCCGAGACTATGTGGAGGACGTTGCGAAAAGTACAGCCATCACAGCGGACGCTTCTTTCAGACATTGATAGATATTTAGATGCGCCGCCAGTGAGTTGGTCCCACCATATGATTGACGATGCAGACAAGGAATGGGTTCTCAAGCGGTGGAAGGCAAATGTATTTAGTTTCCCACTTATGGCAAAGGCAGCTCAGGATTACTTGCCAATTCCCTCAGCGGAGGTAGGGATTGAACGCGAATTCAGCAATGCCAGAGATGTATTGGGGCTCAGGAGACACTGTCTAAATGCAGAGACGATGCGATGGCTTATGCTATTAAAGGGACAGTACCAGAAATAGGTTTAAGGCTAGGAATTGTGTTAATATTCAAATTCAAGGGGACTTAATATCTTAAGTGATAAGTTGTGTGTAATGGAGTCTAAGCCCATGGACTATTGTCCTATTGTTGTTGTATTGCGATGTAACAACATGAACGGTAATGTATGCTCTTTCGGTATATGAATATATATGAATTATTCATATATTCATGAATTTTGCGAATATGAATAAGAGTAAGTCTCTTATTCATATTCATATTATGCAATTCATATAATTCATATTCGCAATTATTCATGAATATTCATGAATAATCATATTCCTTTCGGAGCCCTAGACGCAGCTCAGGCATCGCTCCTTGGTGGCTTCACTTAGATTGCTTGGTACACTAATTAAGTGGTCAGGCAATCCTTCGAACTTGACTGTATTTACCTACCAGCATATGAAATTGACAAAAGTGCTGAGCGCATGGAACAGTGTCAAAAGTACTGGAGTCAATTGACACGAATTGTATCCAATGACTGAAATATTTTTGAGTTCTGACACGTTCATATCAGGTGTGATTAAATTGACGAAAGTTTGGCAGACTTCGAGGCAGACCAAATAAAATGGGGTAAGCAGCGAAACATCTTCGCGCCGAGAAAGCAGCAACGTGTCATGTAGCGCGAGAACCCCATCCTCAAGAGAGGCAGCATCAATCATCTCATTAGAACCTAGACATCTCGCGATTTCCAGAATTCGAGTCGTTGAATTGAACAATCTGTCTCGGTAGGTAGGCTTTGGCGCAGGGTCCATTCGGTGCGTAATGACGAAGTCAACCTGTCTTACTTCACTAAGAATCGGTTCCACATGAAAAAGCAAACTAAAGGGAGAGTTTGCCGTTGGACTGTACGGCGATTTGAATGTTATCTAGCGATAATTTTGGAATAGCTAGTGTTGTGATATGAGGCTGGTGCAGATCAGGAACCAAGCCGAACCATCGGAATTAATCCCGAGATATGTATACGAAGAACCAAGTTGATTGGAAATCAACTTGTTCTTCTCGTTGTATATATAGTCTCAAGTTTCCCACTGAATAATAGAAGAATCAATCTTCCTTTTGAATTACAACAAGATCCCCGTAGTGCAGGTCAGTTGCGGGTCCATCCGGGGGTTATTTCTCTCGGAGGAACTATATTGCATTAGATACTGCTCACCCTCATCACCCAGTTCTCACCCAATCCTCACCTTCCACTTTCTTTGAGGTGAGAACGTTTTGCTCGCTCTGAGAATGCTCTGCTTTCGCGTGAATCAGAGTTTCTGGGCGCGTACATCATGAGCCTTTCTTGCAGCGACTAGCGCTTGCACCTCTCATCTTCCTGGCGGACCACAGTTGTGCCGACTTCAACGATTTCAACGACTTCACTATGGTTTTGGGGAACCCTCCCTTTACGAAGGGGCAGGGGTTCGGTCACCAGCTCCCCCACTCCTTCCAGGCCTTTTAAAGGCCTTATTTTCCTCTTCTTGCTTCTCTCCCTCCAAAATGTCAGGCTGGAGCTTTCTTCCTAGCTGCTAAACGGCGTCCTTTCCTTCCGTTTGCGTTGATCGCTGATTCTATCCATTCATTCATTCCTGCCTGTGTGTTACGCGAACTGTTAATACCACCATGACGCTTCTCTGGGTTGGTCTGCAGGTAATCACCCGTCCAGTAAACTCAATAACGTTCCTCTCATTTCTCTCCCAGGATTCTTACCCGAAATGCGGTCAAGAGTGGGATGAAGACGATTCCTCCGACGTAAGTGAGCCTTAACTCGTTACCTCGCTTTTGAACGGTGCTAACTCAGGAATAGCTGGTAAACAGACTCGGCAAAATCCTGGAGGAGATCGGACAACTAGATCAGAGGCAGATGGCAGAAGTCTTGGAGCGTGCTAAATGGGCGGGCTTTGCCAGATGGCACATGCTGGCGACCCTCGATGGGATGCCTTTTTCCTCAACTTATCGAAACAACTGCCATATATCGTTCACTGTTCTGGTTGGCTTCAGGGTGAGCATATTCTCCTCAAGCTTCCAGACGAGCTGCGAGCTGACTTATCAGGAATGCGTTCGCGCGGCGGACGCTCTTCTTTTGGATAAGAAGCACCTTGCAGCTGTAAGTCGTCTGCTTCAGTTACTATATTTCGCCCTAACTTTCGGTAGCTCGTTCGGCGCTTTGGAGCCGACCTGGAACAGCTTCGGAAGCTAACGAGGCCTCAGCTGCGTACAGTGGCCATTGGACTCGAATGTGCTGGATTTGTGGATGAAGTTTACGCAGCAGAGGCTGTTCAGAATTGGTCTATACCAGCACCAGGTAATATTGAATGCGACCGCGGTATTTTCGTCTTATCTGACTGCTAATCCTCTTTTGAAGAAAGCACTATTACTGGTGCTATGCAACCCGCTCCGTTCCTTCCACCACAGCCTCCTTACGACCTTAGTCTTTCAACACACGATGCATTAACCGCCCTTGGCGATTCTCAACCGTGGATAAGTTCTCTGAATCTACTTGATGACATAGACTCCAGTTTGGCGGACTTGCCTTTGCTCACCAATAAGCCCTCGGAAAGTGCTTCTTCCTTCACCGAACCGATCCTTGACAGTGATCCCAACTCATGCTTTGAAATGACTTCACCCGTGACCGCACATACACCTGGAGATGGAGCGCCATTTCGATCTTCGCCTTTGGACTCGTATCTGAGTCCGGGCGAAAGCGAGCTTCCAGGCTCGGAGACTCACACTATGATAGCGCCTTACGCCCCTATAATTTTACCGAATGTTGACGAAGGAGCTTCATATTATCCGACGCCACCTTCGTATGGCAACGAAGTCTCCAATGTGGGAGAGCAATCTATTCGGCCGGAATCTGGCCGCCTTATGGCTAGCCAAACAGAAAATATGGATGAGCTTGTTAGTACCAACGCGAACGATTTATCCGTTCCAGTGGCGCTCAATTATAGGGTGCAGAACGTGAAACGTTTGCTCTTTTCTTGCGATGCTACGCTTAATGACTTTCGAGTTCAGCGCATCCTCCATGTGAGCGCAAATCCCCTCATTGCGGAGGGTCTCGAGCAAACGCTATGGCCCCTGTTGGGCCATTGGAATTTGTCCGAGTCACTCGACGTATCGGCGCTAGGCCTCCCAGTGCAATGGAGAGGCATAGGTGCAGCTGCAAATTACCTCAAATTACTTGATTCCGATGGGAAGCCATCTCATTTGAACCCTATTGCAGTGCGCCTTGGACAGGTATTGCTGTATTTCAACTACGAAGACCTTTGCAGAAACCGGAACAAGTTAACCCATCGTACCTCGGACAAGGCTGATAAGACTGGTGTACTGAATAACATACTCGAGGAATACCAGGACGATCCTCTCCTTAATAAGGGAGAACAGGTTCGCCGCAATCGGGTCACAGGCTACCACCTTCGTCGCGGCAAATGGTGGTGGAGAATTGCGGGTACCGTAGGAGTCGGTATACTTTTACTGGGCAACACTTCTTTAGTACACGACATGTATGTCTTCCGCTGGTTCATGCGTGGCTCGGCTGACCCTTGTGAATAGGTGCATCAAGAGCTTTACTGACGCTCAGCTCAAAGCTTTCGTCACACTCTCTCTGAAAACCCAGCCGGGGTCCAAACGTGTATTTGAGGCGACGGAGTCCATGGTCAAATCTCTCATATTTGGCCATGTCACACACGATCCTTATGCCTTTCTCTTCAATAATGACGGCGGTCTTCTTAGGCCTGAAGAATTAGCACTGGTTCGAAACGAGGACGAACAAGCCCTACTTACTCAACTCTCTCAGACTTGCTGGGAAGCTGTGGACATTGTGAAGAATGCAAGGCGTAAAATGGTGGATTATCTCGGCTGGGAATCGGACAAGTAGCACCAGTGCGACCGTAGACCCCATGTGTCGTAATCCTGGAAATAGATATGCACTAGATGACTTTTCGAATACTGTAATCGTCGCCACTCATATTCTTGTGACTTGGGTCTTCCCACTGGTATTTAGACAATTCTGCAGTCGTACGCATAATCCTCCATTTATCTCTAGAGCTCGGTTGTTAAAGGCAACGAATGTCAATTTAAATTCCCTTCTTTGATCTAACTGCTTTATCCGGCCCTTTTGCCTCGGCCTTTATGCTATACCTCCGTTTGGATTCGATGTGTACGAGTAGAACGTACGAGCGGATATCAGAGCAAACCAGGCCAGGCCGATGAGATCACCGAGACTCCACCGAATTTCTGTCAAAAAGGGTTGCTGAAAAACAATAAGCGAGTTCAGAGCGAGGTTACTGGGCGGCTCACAAACCTTTTTCAGCTCTTCAAAGCAGCTGGCCGAGGTAATCGCGGAAAGAAATTCTATGGCAGCTGGGCAAGTTGACCAGCGTTCAAGATCATCTGTCAAGAAAAGTGGTCCTTACAATACTAGCTTACTCGAGTTTTAGCAGCACCCATTCTGCTTACTCATTTGCTACAGTATAGATGGCCGCTTCGCCAAGCCATTTCCCCGCTTGCTAAGCACACACTGGGATAAATAGTCGCTGCAGCATGCAGTACTAAGAATTACACTCATTTCTATGATAACAGGCCGATCAATGGTCTATTGTAGAACTAGCGCGTACCGTATCTTTTGGAATCGACATCATCAATACCGACCGCCCCGTCGTCCTTGGCGTATTTTTGCATCAACTCCATCATGATTCTCGACACAGGCGCTAGGTCACTCGCTTGGACCCGGCTTGTCTGCCGGGGGATACAGCAGTCAACCCGCGCTGTTCGTCTGTCAGGCAACATTTCGGAAGAGGCGTCCTTGCATTCGGCTTACCGATCTTGACCTCTCCATTAAGATTCATGAGGACGCTGGAGCAATATAAAGCAGTATGATGGAATCCCTGGGTTACTAAATGAGCCAGTCCTTCCAGAAACTACACATTGTTAGCAACTCAGTCTTTCAGTGCAAATATTCTATGCACAAACCTGGGACATAATAGCAGCGAGTTGCTGCTGGTCCGGGAAAGCTTTGCAGGCAACAATATGATCTAGTGACAGCGGGTCAAATTCGCCAAGAGTGTACAGGGCATCGGAGGTGCGGAAAAATTCCCAGACGGAGGCGACATTCTTATGGTTTGTCGAACGGAGAACCTTCAGGATTTTGTCACTGTCCCTGCTGGAGAATCGCCGAATCGCCCGTGCAGCACGCCCATCGGAAGCTCGAACGCATACAATCACTGTTCCGGCTAAATCACATTCGTAGTATTTCTTGTAAGTATCCCAAGGGGACTCATTCCGTATATTAGAATCCGAGCCGGTAGGGCTGTTCGCTTGAAGACTCATAGCTCGTGGCGAACCTCTGATGACCTTGCCTCCAGGCTCAGAGAGTGAGGATGGAGGGGATATATTTGGATGGGATCTGGGAACGAAGTGCCCCGACTCTGATTTGAGGTCGGAAGATGGCGATACTGCTTCGTTTTCGGGTGGGAGTTGCAGCAGCAGCGCAATCTGAGAAGGTTGGACTCTTGTGGCTCGCTTGTCAGCCTTTGACTTCATGATCGGGCTGCTCATAGTTCAATCCAGGTGAGAAAGTAAAGAAAAGATAGCTTTGCAAAGGACTACTTGTCGTAGTCTTTTAACGGCTCCCTGGTGTGATGTGCTGCGGGTCACTGAGGGGCCCTGCAGGGATGTGGCAAGAAAGAAGTACCACGCTAGGCAGATTGGCTGAATTTGGCCAGGGCCAGTATAAATGACGCTCGATCCTGAATTATGCCGTGAGATCCTATTCTTTCCTGTTGCTTTATCTTGCAATGAGCCGCGCTCTGTTTACCGAAGAAGAGGTGCAACTGGCAAGTGAGCGGCGACTGAAATATATTGGAACAGCGAAAGTCAGCATTAGTCAAATCCAGTTCGATCCTCCTTTGCCTCGGGATCTAGATCCTAAGAATTTGGATCGACTTCGCAGGGTCTTCCGCCAGAACCGTTGTCGCCGTCTAGATGTTGACAATCATGTCCCTGCTATCGTGTCGCCACATGATCTCGCCGATGCGTTGAGGAAGGCCAACATATCACAGCAGTCACTATTGACGACGGATGCTCGTCAACTACCCAGAATTAGTTTTCTGGAAGGGCAGCTACTTGGGCTTCATGGTCGTCACCGCGTCCAGGCCGGAGCTGAGGTGCTACCTCCTGCTGATCGTTGGTGGACGGTGGATCTTTACTCAGATGGTAACTATGTCGAGAAAAGATGGCTAATCATGTGCTGACAATCATGGTAGATATTGGTGCAGAACTCAGAGCTTCCTTGGTGGAGGAATATGCCAACGAAAGGAAGCCGACCGACGGTGAAATCTATCGCAAGATTCGACAATACGAGGGCGATTACGATGAGACCTTCCGGGAGCGATGGTTTGTACGTCTATCGCGCAGCAACCAAGAGCGTTTGGATCAGTTGGACAATAAGAAAAACCGCCGTACTCGAGGTGCCTTTGACAGGCTACTAACAATTCCTGGACTTTGGCCAGGTGGGATGAGGATTAGTGTAGTTCACAGACTGATAGCCTCCGGATGTGTTGAAGTGAGTTTCAGAAAACTGCCCCTCTTCCACCGTGCCAATTGAACGCTTTGTCCATAGTAGGAGACTGTAACTTATCTGCATCATATCTGGGACTTCTGGTCCTCCTTGGTTGCTTCGGACCACGCTTCCCTCAAGAGGATCGACCAGAATACTGTGGAGCTATTGCAGCTGCTGGCACCTGGTAAATCACGTACTGATGGGCAAACAGCCTGTGGAATGATCCTTAGTGGCCAAGCATTCGCTGAGTTCAGCGACGAAGAGCGACGGATCATATGGTCCCGAATGCAGAATTTTGACAGCATGATCCCGTCTTTGTACACCTTCTTCGAAGACTTCAAGTACCTAGAGGCCTGTGCCCACTGTGTCAAGCGTCTCTGTGGTCCGATCGATATGTCGATCTGGAGAACCATGAGTTCAATATTCAATCCACCCTCAGAAGAGGGAACCGCGCCTTCAGGGGCAGCGGATTCCCTCATCCAGACCTCCGAGTCTACTTTCCGACGCCAGCCGGCAACTGATATGGAACGCCTCGAGACAGGATATTTACAAATATGGCTTTACGCAATGAGGCACTATACGTTAATGCCACCGGACCCAAAGAGCGATGACGAGTTGTTGGCAAAATCAACTCGTGCCAAGCCCGATGAAAGGGCGATTTACGAGATGGCTGAACTCGCTCAACAGCTTGGCTTTCAGTCCACCGAAATCGATGCACTGATCAAGAGTTCACCTGATCATCAGATCGCACGATCCGCCCTCCTACAAGCCCGAAAGCCCAACCGGTATCGATACGATAGCCAGGATTTTGATCTTTTGGTCAATCAGATTGTGAGCTGTTTCGCGAAGGCTGTTTCCGATCGACCGGAGCAGCCTCAGGGCCTTCTGGCGGATAGCGCAATGAAGCTAAAGACTCGTTCCGGGGAGCCCCAAACACGGACTCACAAGCAGGATGGACCCTTGCTGTTCTTGGACCGTTTGCACGCTGATGTTGAGGCTGCCGAAAATGTCACCAGCTTTTTCGTCCGCCGTTGTGTATATTTTGCATTTTTCGGAAAGTCTGCACGGATTGCGACTAGCCATGTCAACCAATCCGAGGACATTGGTCCAGATCAAGGAATGGGGGAGATGCCTCCTTCGCCAATGTTCGTCGAAGAGGACGACCCCCCTGTTACTCATACACCCGCACCAGACCCCCATCCACCTCACGGGAAACAGGGAGAGACACAGGAGCGGACAGCTGAAGTGATTGCAGGACGAGGAGGCAGTGAAAGTCAGCAGCCATTGCGGACGGACCAAAAAGAAAACGCGAGGCGTCGACGGCGAAAATTTCAAATACGCCGAGCTGTCTCGCGTCCGGAGGGGGATATGCACCAAGAGCCAATGGAGTTGGAACTGCCCGAAGTGAATCATGACCAGGTTATGTTAGACCGGAGCAGGTCGCCTGAAGAAAGTTCTATCTCAGTCGGGCCTCAAAGCCAGCCGGAACCGGTCGAACCAGCGACGGTCATCACGCAATCTTCCCATGTCTCTGCTGTGCCGGATGTTGACGATAGTAGGAGTGACTGCACACGAGTCTCTTTGGACGCAGTTCCGCTCGTGGAGGACCAGGAAGAGCAAACAATGGTCGAAGAGGCCGATAAAGACGATGCTCCTGATGACCAGACACGGGTCGATGGTAACGTACGGCGAGTTTCTCCAGAACCAGAGGCAAGCAATTCCTCGGTAAACAGCCAACCCCCGCAGGAAAACTTAGATGAATTTCTTGCCAGTTTGAGGAGAGCCCAGGAAGAACAGGAACAATTGGAAGAGAGGTTGGAAAATGAGCGGCTGAATGAAGAGTTTGACTTACCAGGGCAGCCGCCTGACGAGACTTCTCGACTAGAAGACAGACAGGATCCATCATCGTCGAGCTCTGAAAACCTACAGGAAGAGCCTGCGACTAGAGAAGTTCTTGCAGCTGCTTCAGAGACCACCACCGACGAGGCGCCTGCAGAACATGTCCACCCAGGATCGCCAGACCCCGTTGTAGATCACCCACCGCCTCCTCCAGTTGTCGAAGATCTGCGTGCCCATACACCCTCCGCAGCCGATCATATGCCATCAAAAACGGCCGAGGATCGGGTCCCTCAAAATCACATTGAGATTCAACTCTGGTCCCTTGAACGAGGAGAGTGGAGACGGTCTGACCGTCTCCACATAGATCCGTCGAATCCATCGTTGATGGAACGAGTGGCGCAGAAATATTTATGGAAAAATTATTCACTGTACGATAAGGATTTACACAACCTAAGGCCGGCCCAATGCTACCGCGCAGCGACTGCTGACGGCAGCAATGCCTTATTTGTGGTGTCCGAGCATGAGGAAAAGAAGCTGGCGGACGAAGGTCGACTTGTAAAGGAGAAGAACCTTCTGTGGATGGCATCTCGAGTTTTAGACCGGGTAGAGGATGGAAGGGATCCTAGGCACTCATGAGATATCCATCTTAGGACATGCATAGTCCTATGTGGCTTGAAATAAGAGCGTACTACAGATAAGACGTATGGCACCCCGAGAGAAATCTAACAGGAGTGGTACTGGAATGAGATTCTGCTTTTGTGTCTCTGATAGAGCTATGTAGAGTATCCTGGAAGTGATAACATGAAAGGACGTTGACAAAAGACTATTTTCAGCTAGCTCATTTCAAGAGTGAGGGTTACTTGGAAGGCGGAAAATAAGAGACTTCTTTCGAGAGGGCTTGGCTCATGGGAGAATCCTCTTGAGAGGAAATCAGTCACAGTAGGGCCTGCTGAAGAGCACAGGCGACACAGAAGGCCGCACGTCATATGAACTGGTTCTTCGTACCACTTCTCTTCTAGTCCAATCATTCTAGGCCCAGACCAGTCCCGATCAACGTGACCAGCCTCTTTCTTGAGAAGCCTCTTCGCTAGAGGTCGTTTCTCTGAAAGGTCCTTGAATATTGAGGTACGGAAGTGAGAGGCGCTCGATCGCGGATATAGCTAGCAGCCTGGACTATAGCCAGCGGCATAAACTCGAGCTCTTCCACCAATTTCTGGCTATCCTGCGAGCCAAGTACCTATTGATTATCGCCACCCATGTCACTTCACAACCTCATGCATAACAAATTCTGGTAACACGAACCCAACAACCCTCCCGCGTTGATCGTTTCGTCGAGAAGCCTGACTTTGCGAGAACCTAGATCAATGCGGGTAACTGTTAAGTTGAGTCTAATCTTCATCAAGTGGAGACTCTCTCGCCACTCCTAAGGTAGATAAATTCACAGATAGCCCAGGCCAGACCAAGCTGTGCAAGGGCTCACAAGTATGCAACGCGATTTTGCCCATCGTAACCGAGCTAGCCGTTTCGAAGCCCATTCGGTATCCGATTTGAATCTACTAATAAAAGTTGATAAAGTTATACACTTAATACCGGGCTGGGGTAATAAGGAAAGGATGGGGCACGGTGGGGATATAGTTGCCAGATGGCAGTCAATACGTGTGTGTAGACCTCCGCAAAGCCCATAAATGGGCCCGACCTTTAGGCCCATAGCCCAACCAGCAGTGGGCTGTGGGCCTAACCTCTATAGCCCGCCCCAACCCATAGCCCATGAGTGGGGGCCCATGAGGCCCCCAATATAGCCCATTTCTATGCATAACTACGATCTTGGCGCTCATAAAACCGCTGATTAATGCCTGTTTTTTACGCATGTTCCAGTCTGTAAGCCTTTACAAGGCATACATCGGCCCGACGTTTTACCAGGCCTGATCTAGTATTTCAACTCCCAATCCGGGGGTTCAACTCCCCCAAGAATCAAGATCTCAAGATCCAACGGCGACGACATAGTAATTAAGGTCGTAGATGAAGCCAGCTACAGTAGGCACTATAGTTTACCGGCGTCATCCAAAAAACAATCCAATTTCACCAAGTTTTCGTAGTATTCTGGTACTTAGAGAGTTCCAAAGTGTCAACATGTAGAGATATA